CGAGGATCTTTGCGACGGTCGTCCTCGGCAACTCCACCTCCAGGGGTTGCCGCGCTTAGTTTCCTCAACGAGGAGAGAGGGGCGACAGGCTTTCACGGGGGGGCTATGCTTTGGCGAAGCTGGACGTCGGCGTGAGGGCGCCTGGGACCCACCTCGAGACGCAGGCATCGAATACGGTGGACGTCGTAGGTTGATCTCCCGAGGTCGGTCACTGTAGCGTGGGAGCGGGTCGTCGTGGTGGAAGCCGCGTAGTCCCAGCTGCCGATTGGGGTAACGGCGGTAGACGTTGTCGGCTTTCCCGCAGTGGTAGCACAGCGGGCGTCGGTGAGATGTGCGCCTCACGTCCGTCTTCCTTTGTGCCGGGGGTTCGGCTCGGGCGTACGGGGCTTGTTCTTCAGTGCGCCGAGGGTAACCAAGGAGGCGCGGGTGCTGGTACTGGCGCGTTGCTGGCGGCGGTCGTCGGGCCATGGCGGCGTAGCTCAGGGTCGGTTTGTCGGGTGCCTCGATGCTCATGGAGGCCTCCGGCTGGAGCGCCCGTTGAACCTTCTCTCAGATGGCTTCGGTGACGGAGAGCGAAGCGGGGCGTTCGGCATCCGGCAGCAATTTTTTCAGCTCCTCCCGAATGACGCTGCGGATTATCTCTCAGATACCCGCGAGGTTGGAAACAACATCGAGGCTAGAGAGCACAGGAACAGTGACGTTGAACGGTCGCTATTGGACGACACAGGCTTAGAGAGCCCGTGTCGATGTTCTTTGCCTCCTTTACAAAACCATCAATGGTTGTAGGCGGGTTTCGCACAGGGCCACCAAAAATCGTCTCTTTGACGCCATGCGTAAGAATCTTCAGTTTATTTTCCTCCGTCGCCTAAGGATCGGGGCGTGCACTCGGATGCAGAACGTCTTAAACGTAGCTGGTGATGCTCTCATTGGGGGCCTTGCGTCCTCGTTCGTAGGAGGTCCGGGGCTCTCTCCCGTCGGTGCTGACTGGCGAACGTCCGGTTGAAGATCTGCTTTCAGCTGGTCTCATGACGTAATCGATTTTTCATGATTCTCGAACCAGTGTTGCGCCTTGTCCTAGAGGATAATCTAGACGTTGTGGAGGCATTGGTCACGCGTCCACCCATTGTGGCGGGCCACTTGCTGGTACTGGTTGATCTACACCTCGATATCTTCGTATACGCCGCCGTGGAAAGTCGTCGGAGTTCGGAGGCGACAGGCAGGTTAAAAACGGGGGAGGCAGCGGCGGGAGTTTGTGACGATTGGTTGCTCATCGCCGCCTTCGTCGACTAGTGGGTCTTCTCCAGCAGTAGACCAAATTCCAGAGGCAAGCCTTGAACACGGCGGCTTCCTCGAATCTCGGTAGTCTCCACGGGCGGTCTTCTTTGGCCAGGGGCTGGGCTTGCGCTGCGCGGCCTCGGAGAAGTACGCTTCATGGGCTGCGTTACCCCGCACCTCCACCAGAAATGTCACGAATGGCAGACAATGGGGCAGGAGAAGACGGATTCAACAAAAGATTTAAGGGAGTCGAACTTGTACCAGGAACGTAAAAGGAGAATACACGTCAAGAAAGCAGCAGCGAGCGTCGACGGCGGCAGCAGCAAGCGACGGGGCGTCGGAGTAATATCTGTCTATCCCCAGCAAGAAACAGTGAATGAATCGGCAATATGGCGCTCGGCTCTTTATTTACCAGGCTCGTTATCTTGAATATTCGACGCAGAATGCATGGGAAACAGGTAGGGGGCGACTGACCTTCTGGCCTCCTTATCTTCTCGCTCGGAGTAAGAATATACATGAATCTTCTAAATGAACGGAGAATTGTATCTTCTCAATCAAGCACGCGGAACTATTTTCCTTTTTCCGGTTCTGTTGTGATTTTTTTCCGGTTGTGTTGGCAAAAAGTAATGAAGATATGACATACTAACACATGTTTATATAATTTTATTAATGTAGTCATTCGACAGCCGTAACGTTATAGGACATCCGGGTTTCACTTCATTCAATACAATTTTAAGAGGAGGTTACGTGGTGCGCTTAATAATGCAGCTTAATTATTTTACCTGAATTAAAATAATAATAAAAGAATTAGAGGTACCGTGCACGACACACCTATAGCTCAAACGAGCGCTCGCCAATAATTTTTATTTCTGAACTGAATGACTGTCAAACACTTGCAGTGTAGTGAAATACGTTTCCGTAGACATCAACCTGTCCAATGAAATGTTACAAATGCTCTAAATCTGAGCAAAATAAAATACTTACGGTATATTGTTTGTGCTACCTGTGTAGCACTGTGTCCCATCGTAAGAGTTAGTTTAAGATATGTGCAAATACTACCCTGCAGTTTTTTTGTTTTAATTTTGTATTGTAATGAATATGTTTAGTTTGCACGAGACCGAAACGCATAACTTAGCTCAAATTTCGCTATACTATAAGCCACATTTGGGCATAATAGTGTCTTTTTCTAATGCGTTAGTTATACCTCTGTCAGACAGGCACCTAAAAGGACGTTTACGCCAAAGGCCTTTAGGATTTTTAAATGATCTTTACATTCTGCCGTGCGAGAGAGCAGAAGCAAATGTCCTTTAGACGATGTATACAGCGATCGGGGTCTCGTAGCTCGGTTCAAAGGCATAAATCATGTTCACGCCAGAACAATAATATTTTGGCGATATAAATGATTTTTAGGCTTTTTTTAAGCAAACAGTGTATTAAAAAAGACAAAATGACGAGTTCAGTCAATTGATTACAACAAAGTCCACTTTAAAAGCCCAAGCAAAGTGGTTTTCTGGCAATTAGCGCCAACCCTCGGCGTCTCCCGTTCACTCAGTCCAACGTTACTAGAACACTCAGTTGGGAAACTCACCGTCGAAACCTGGGCCGCTGACGTCCACCGAGACCGAGCTAAATACGACAACAGCGCCACTCGTTATCATTTGTCTGTACTGTGGTCACCTTGAGCTTTTAGAAAGCATGTTTTTGCGTAAAAACAAACGGAAAAGACTCTCTTTGTATCATATTTATTGAAGTTTAGTACAAAATGATGGGCGCATGATGTTTTTAGAATATTCAGTTTGTAAGGTTTTTCGGAACAATTAATATTGTTTTTATACAACCATGCCTCAGCGGTCCTTTCAGGTAGCGCGTCCCGACCCAGGTGCATTTTAACTTCGGTCGTAATTCGCGGCGCGTCCGCTGTATCTGTTTCGGCGATAAAATGGCCGATTAAAGCAAAAATAGAAGTAACGTGAAGTTCCTCGAGCGGCCGCTGCGGGAGAAAAGGCGGCGTTGTGTTCGCCATTAGCTCAGTTCTGGAGGACAGATTGGGGCCACGTTTTCAGAGCAGTCTCTATGGCAGTTTCCCAACTGAGTGGTTCTAGTAACGTTGACTCAGTCCTAATGTTGCTTAGTGCTCCCTCTCTTTTCTGTGCTTCTGCTACGCTATTACCCTGTTCGGTTCGGCTTCGTGCTCGCGCTCGAGGTTCAATGCGCGCATCGGAGGTCCTTCAGCCGATTCTCCCAAAGTCGTATCAGCGCCCAGGTCGCCTCAACGCTCCAATGGAAGCGCGGCGACCCCTTCCTAGTCGTGGACACTCCTCCGTCGTTCGAGGTATCGGACGATGCGAGAATGAGATACAGAAATATATGCTTACAAAAAAAAAAACACACACACATTAAACATATGCATTAGGATGGTAGTACACCATTAAAAAATTATCAAATATAAAGTAGAGAAATAAAGGCCGGATAACTATGGTTGAAAGAAAAATCGAGGGGAGGAAAACCGAAGTGCCGAAGCGGATGACCTGAGCAGGCGACGACGAGGCCCACTAGACTGCTGGGGCCGTGAGTACAGAGGACTATTAGTAGAGCAAGGTCTGTACAGATTATGCGTAAAACACGCTCTTTTCCAATAATAATAATTGAAAAGCATCGATTTTAGATATCGGTACGATATTTTATTTAAATTCACTGCTGCTGACGAGAGTAAGCCTTCAGCTGCCGTAAAGGAGTTACTGGAACTCAGGTTCACGAAAAGGACCTTTACGCTAAATGCCATTTGAGTTGCCGTGTGGCACTTCCTAAATGACATTTAGACTAAAGGTCCTTTGATGTAAAGATCGTTTTAAGTGCCCGTCGGACAGGGGTGCTAGTGCCAAAGTACATTTCTTTTCGCATTTCTAGGGCTTTTTTTATTGGCTCGCCACCTAACTGCCATAGTGTTGAACTTGAACCGAAGTTGACACGTATGAACGGGAAAACCAGCAGCGAAGTTTTAAGCGTATGCTTGTTTGGCAATTTAGGCTTAAACTTTGCAGACAAAATAACGAGTAATTACACTTTTAGGCCTAACGGTGGCACTTGTTTGACGCTTTAAGCTCAAAGAAGCGAGGTGACAGTCAAACTACTAACAGTAAAGCCAAACTTTGAAACATGTAATGGCAAATTAGGGCGAAGGTACCAAATACCAGAAAAAGAAGGCCAGGTTTGTCACTACCTTCGTTTCATCGAGCTTTTAAAGTCCTGAATTCTTAAACAGAAACAAAATTTTGGCGCAATATGCTGTGCTATCTGAGTGTGACTTAACTGATTATTTATAGGAAATATAGTTGGCATAATGTTGTACAAAATTGCAATAAATAAAAACAAAAACTTTGAAATTTTGTGATACTCAGTGAGTCTGTTGCTTGGCTATGTGATACCAGAAAAAGGAAAGGGGAAATCCACCCGATGAGTTAGTTTTGAAAAACAATATCAGTGCTCTTTCTTTTAATTTTTGACTACTTAAACATTAGCTTTCTGGGTCACTTAGCTTACTGTGTGCAATAATAATACAACAAATATAGTATTGCGTGCAATATCTTGCCAGTAAGCTTTCCTTAATTGAGAAACATCTTATTTTTATGCTCCGCCACATACATTATATTATACAGTCGCTGCTACCTAATCAGTAAAAAATATAGTTAATATATACTTGTTCTATAACCATATTGAATGCCTACCTGTTTGGCATGTCATACAATCTTGTTTTGTAGGAAAGTTATTTCTATTGGCGTTACAACGATACCACAGAAACTTCTGACAATTGTTGTTGGTGCTGTTGAAGTACCACCGGTAAACTCCTTTTCTCGGCCTTCCTTTCTTTTTCTCTTCGCATTTCCCCCTGTTCAAATCCATCCGACAGTCTTCGGGGGTTACTCTTTCCTCTGTAAGTAGAAATTCGTGTAAATATGTTTGTGGATTGTTTGCTTACATTTCCTTAAGAGGTAACCATGCTGTGAATAACATAGCTGATAAAAAGTAATCAATAATCTGAGTTTTAAGGCATCCACTGCTTTGATTGCTTTGTTAAAACATCTGGCAAAAAATAAACAAAAATATATATCCTAGCTGTTTCACGAATATTGCACGACATTTTCTGGAATTTATTGAAATGGAACCAAAAAACTCTCTGCCCCCCCCCCCCTTTTCTTTCTTCCCAAAGTAAAAAGAACGATGTAAATAAATTCCGTTCGTGTTTTTATGTCTGCATAAATTTTCATTTGACTTGAACTTTATTACCTTCCCCCAAAATAATGCTTGACAATTATCATTGTTACAGCATGCATCCAGAGTTAGTAACTGTTCAACCCTGTCCCCACCGCTTCGAACATGAATCCATGCATTATTACCAAAGGCACCATATCAGAAGATGTTAACGAAGTAGAAATGGACTCAGGAACTTGAATATATAGAAAACTAAGCTGATGCAACAATTTGTTGACTGCCCTTAATCGCGTCGCAAGAAGCATTTCTGTGTTAATTAAGAGGATCAGAAAACAAATTAACACTAGCGCTCTTACGAAAATTAAAAGCTGTTGAGATACAACTTTGCCGAATGCGCCAATAACTAATGCTATCTTTCCAAAGGGTTTTAAGAGAGACTGATTTCACTATCTATTTACTGCTCCAACTTTCGGTTATTCTAGACGTGTTTAGCTGCAACCAACAAATATCAAGGACAACTAACTTTAACCGAGTGTCATGAAAGGTTAACCGGAGCAGTTATTAAATGCAAAGCTACAAAATAATAATTTTTATTTAATAGGATTCTGCAGAGAGTTTGAAAGCGTATTAAAAATATTCTTAAGCGACACTGAGTCGAAACTTTAAAATATACCTCTTACGTTCAGAAACGTTCAGAAATAAGATAAACATGGTCAACTATATCTGCTAATGACAACCACACGCCTGTATTTTGAACGGATGGTTAAAGGACCGATTCCAGCGAGCGCTCGAAGGTCAACCATAGGAGAGCGCGCCGTCCCGGAAGACGTGACGTCAACTTGCCCTGCACGGGCAAGGTTGCTTGGGTGCTAGCGTGGTTATGAGCTGCGTCGCTTAGATTTCTGAATGCGTTTCAAACCTGGCCGTTTCAGTTGACCCTCCCCGCGCCCCGCAGGAGTTGAATAGGCAGGGAGAGAAGAAAACTCCGGTTATACAGGGCCTGCACGCACGCAGCTTGCCGTCGTACTCCCACCGAGCAGCGCTGCTTTTAAGTTCAGAATGACCTAACGACAATCGGTTTATTTATTTTTAAATAATGTTTTATTTTCCCTACGAGCAAAAACTTGGTGTCTCCTATGTGTGGAAAGAACGTGGTTGATATTTAGACAATAAAATAGGCGCTACGAATTTCCTTGCAGTCTCCACTAACTCCAAGGCAACCTGCCCGTGCGCGGTTGAGGGCTCATCGTTTCTCGCCGCAGAAGGAGCCAATGGGGGGGGTAGCGTAGATAGTGACGTTGAGATGCCATGGTAACGCGCAAGCCGCTTTGCCGCGCATATTTTACGTCGCAAAGGAGCATAGCGTTGTTTCATTTCGTCTGCTATCCCTATGTCCCCCAATGCCCTTCCCGACGGGGCGGTTTTTCGAAACTGTGCGACTCGTCGTCAGCGCATACGCCTTTGTAAAGCCGTATTCCTCGGCGCACAAACGCAGACGCGGATAATCCGTACATGGGAGCACGTCCCCGCTTCCAGCGGCAACTGTAGGAGAGACGATGCTTGTTCACGTACTGCTTCCCGTCCTTCCGACCTTCCAAGCCAAGGAGACCTCGTCTTTGTTGAAAACGATTTACTTGTCAGGCGTGTCAGGCGCGTCAGGATACCGTAGTCGCCGGCGAGGATTGCGAGTCACCCTTGGGAGACCCTTTAATTGGACCCGGCGTCAGCGGCGAAGTATACTCCGTTTCATCTTCTGTTAAACCAAACAATTTGTTTTTCAGTAGCGTAGCACTAGCACTGCAACGAGACGCGCAGTCGTCCGGATGATCTCATCGTCGTGGAGCGAGACTTCAACCCTTGACGGTCAGATGCACTTGCTCAGCGTACTCTCCGAACGTCGTGGAAATAAAGAGGGGCCAGGCATAACATTCTCAACTTGACGAAGAAAAAAGAAAAAAAAAGAGGAGAGTTTGTAATAAAATACCCTGTAGCGGAGGCAAACCTCATATGTTTCGCCATGGCCACCCAAGATGCCGACACTCGCTTACCCTAGCCCGCACAGCCTGTTTCTCGAATTCAACGCTGCCGTTACATCCAGCGCGCCGGTGGAACGTCTTTTTAGCTTGGCTGGGGACGTCTTTAGGAGGAAAAGGGGGAAACTCTCCTATCAAAAACTTTGAAGGTCAATTGCTTCTGCGAGCGAATAAACTATTTTGGTGAAAACGCAAGCCATCAAATGACTGCAATTATTTTAGGCTCGCAGGGTTTATTACGGATCAAAACTGCTGTTCATTTTGCTACCATAAAAATATGAAAGACTAACTTCGAAAGTAACTTCAAAGTAACTCGCTACTTTTTTGCAGTAGTTAGTAGTTTACTCAATTACTACTACAAATGCGTAATTTCTATTCTACTCGTATTACTTTTGACGTCGATGCTCAGTAACTTAACTACCTTTATTGAGTAATTTGCACATGTCTGGACTCTCCCAACGCGAGGAGGCCACACTAGCTTCTATTTTGCGGGAGTTATAGTCACGTGGCAGGACTGGCTTTCGCGTTCTCGAGATCGCACCCGCGCGTCCTGCTGGATTGCCCACTCTTTCGTCGTCTGCTTGTCGTTAGATTCTTTCGTTTCGGTTCTAATCTTGCGCATATCTCAGCACTGAACCCGCAGTCGCTGCTTATATGGTAGGTGTCGATGATGGCCTGGTGACCAGCGTGAATGTGATCATTATAGCATGCTCGTTGATTTTGCGACGTCGCCGCGCTCTGAATGAAAGGAGGCGCAGGTTTTGGGTCCGGCTGAGTTAGTGCTACCGAAATACAGAGGGACAGGTCGGTGCTTTGCTTCCCCACCGGCGCGCCAAAGATGAAGGCTACTTTCAAGAGTGTCACCAGATCAACACGACTTCCGTCACAACGCAGGTGGCATGCGAAAAGTGCCACGGAAAAATTAACTATTATTCCGAATTCATCTCCGATAATTTCCCAGCGGATGTGTCTAGTGTCATTATCTAGCTGCTTGAGTCCAGTTTGCTTTTGTTATCTTGAATTGGTTTAATTAATTTAACAGATTTAATACCTACGCGTAGCCCTTCCAAAAAATTAAGCTTTCCATTTAAGAAAGCTCCAAGTTGATTATTTTTACGAGAATACCGATCAGCATACTACGGTTCTGTTAATTCCAATTTGAGGAAAACTGAAGGATAATTGAGTTGAGGGATTGTAGTAAACTTGAGAAATAAAATCCCCTTAAATATGTAACTCTTAACGTCGCTCCAGAATGTTACAGGTCTCATGGCGATTTACTTAAAAAGGCGGAGCAACGATTTTAAGATTAAAATGATTTGCATCTCGTCATTTTTACGTTGTTTATCGTGTTCCGTAGTATGAAGGAAACATCTCTTCCATTAAATAGTGTCCCAATTCCACTGCATAATCGCAAAGCAAAAGTCGAGCTTTTCCCGCCACCTGCAGCCGCAAGTGGCAGCCGAAGGAACAACGGCGAAAAGCTTACGTGACCTCGCTCGGCTCTAAGCCGCAGCATAACGCCCGCTTATGTCAGCAGAAAGAGGGAGAGGAAGAGTCCTCCGAGTGAGCGCACAGGAAGCCACACGGCACCCCGAATGACGCCACTAAGAGCGGGACCAGGTGTGACCCTAAAGACTGGGAGTGAGTTGGGGGGTGCCAGAAATGCCAATATTTATCTCTTTTTTTTTTTATACAACAACTAGGACACGAAGGCGAAATCGGTTTTCTGTTTTTTACTTCACAAGTGTCAGAGGGCAACTCCCGCAAATTTTTGACGGAAGTCCGGACATAAAGCAGCGTGTCTAAAATAGTTAAATAAATATGCACCGTGCTGTTGGAGAGCGCAGACTGTTTTAAAAATACAGATAAGACAAAACAATACATATTAGGCGACATAAGGACAAGCCTGAGATATGATAATGTGTTGACTAATCCCTTAAATAGGACAATTGAACCTTTTTAATATTTTCCCTAATCAATAAATTCGATCATAAATATTTAGCCCTTCTCGAATGTACGCCATATCAATGTATACATAAAAGAAACACCTGCTTGCTCTATTCAGTTGCAATATAAAGCTGTTAAACTTAAAGGGGTCATGAAACGCTTTTGCAACTTTTTCCTGTTTAGCTTTCCTCCTCAACTCATAAATCGCGCATTCCACTAAACAGTTCAAGAAGAGGAAAAGAGGGGAGGCCCCTCTTGATCGGAATCGGGTTTATGTACCCGGACAGAGCCATTGTCCCCCTAGAAGATTAGCCCGTCGCTCAAAATTCAGATAAAGGTTGCTTTCCCCAACCCGTTCACCCCGGAGCTGACAGTGCTGTGGAAGCTACGTGCTCGTTGGGCCAGCCACACTTGCCACATGATCACGCTCCTCCGCGCATACCCACGGGCAGAGATTGAGGTCAAGTGATGAAAGGGAGGCGGCTGATTGGTTCGGCAAACGCGTAGCTTCCACCACAATGTCAGCTTAGGGGTGAAGGGACTGAGTGAGGTCCGGTTTTGTGTGACGTGCGTTTCGACCCGATGACGCGCTTTTGGGACCGCGGATGTATCACAGTGAAAAGGCAGAGAGCTTACGAAGGGAAGGAGGTACGAAATAGTCCGCTGTGTTTTCAAATTTTCGCACTGAAAGTGAGGCTTTTGTCTTTCTACCTTTTTTCTTTTGGCCCACTGAACGATGTGCTATTAGTAAAATCCCAATCGAAAATGATTTATCCCAACCAAAAATCCGTTTCATGGGCCCTTTAACACTTGTGAGCTCAGGATACCAACGGCATAATACCCCGGGTCACACACACACACACAAAAAAAAAAAAAAAGAAAACGTATTAGATGGTTTTTTTCCCGTGCTTTTAGGTGTTCATTTTTTTTTTTTTTTGTCAGATTTTTAACTCTTGGTTAGCCGCCTCGGTGGCTCCGAGGCGCGAGCGCTGGCCTACGGATCCCCATGTGGCGGGTTCGAATCTCGGCCGAGGTGCCCGCAATCTGACGGAGGCTTATTGCGGAGGAGGCGCCGTGTAACCGGGCTTTCGGTTGCACGTCAAAATATCCCCAGGTGGCCCAAATTAATACTCACTCCTCCGCTGGGGCGTGCCAGATGCCCGTCGTTGGTTTTGCACGTAAAACCCCCAAATTCGACCTAAAGGCCCGTTCACACTCTTGCGACCTCTTAAACCTAGATTCCTTAAAACTTCTTAAACCAGGGAACACACTGGCGCCATCTATTGGGAAGCAGTGTAAACTCGGCGGTCCGGCATATTTTTTTTATTTCTCGCGCATTATCTTTTCTTTCTTGGCTCGAAAAACTTTTGTCACTGTTATAAACGAGCCTTTCTATGGGTATTACGCACATTTGACCTCGGAAATCCCGCAAAACCTTTGCTCTTGTGAAATGCAGTTCCAGGGTCACCGCATAGATGGCGCCACAATGCCAGTGTGTTCCCTCATTCTGAAAACATTTAAGAAGTATTAAGAGCTCTCGTCTCTCTCAGTCGTACTCGGTCGCAAGAGTGTGAACGGGCCTTAACCCTTGGTTGCAGTATGGCGGACTTGAAAATGTTGAACTTCGTATATAAATATCGCGGAGCTGTCAGATTTAATGTAGACTATTGCTTTTTGACCTCAACACCTTCGAATCTCTAATTAAAACCTGCCGCCTAACAAGAATGATGAAATATTTAGGTATATCATTCTAGCTGAAAAGATTTATAATTGACATTCGTCACAATAAATAACGTTATCCTAAATATGTAGTCTTGTTCGAAGGAATCTTATCAGGCTATTTGTTTGGTGGAACAGCGCTAGAAGTCGTAGGACCAGGACGATTAAACATTCAGACAGGGCGCTGTTAAATTTGACAAGACTACATTACATCTTTACACACAGCTCCCAGTCTGTGTTTTCCTCGTCCTGGTCTTTAAGCACAGCCCCCACCAAACAAGTAAGCAACATCAACTAGCCAAGCTACATGCCCTGTTGTCAGGCTATTTCTCATTTAAATTAAATATCTAGCATGAGGGAGACACTTATCAGCTAAAAGCATTAAATGCTAATCAATCTTGCGTTCTACACCAAGTATTCAGTCTCTTAAAAATTTAGAAAATCAGTTGTTTTATTCGTATTATATCCTAGCATACGTGAAGCCTTTTGCAATACTTTTGCGTCGATTTCACTTTCTAGCGCTCGATTTCTTCTTCTATCGTTAGTCGTGCTTAGGTTGGACACAGGATCCAAGGTTAAAAGTGCAAGATCAAGGTTAGTATTACGCTGTTAACCTTATAATATGATTCACCAACTCGACCGAGTTTCCATTTTATCAAGTTGGACAAACGATACATATTTTCTATCTCAAACTTACCGGTTTCGCAGGTCTGTTGACACACTTTGAACTCTGAAAATGAATTATCTTTCCCTCCACAGAAACTTGGTGTAGACCTCTCGCATCTTCCGATTAGACCATTAAAATGCCATTTGTTTTGGTGACGGCGACATGATGTCCCAGTTGAATTACACTTGGTTGTCTCCGCTGGAATATGCATTCGACGAGATTTGTTGTCGCACATTTTGTCATAATAATTGCACAGCTTAGAAATTCTTAATGTATTGTGATACTAACTTTTATTCGCTAAAAGTAATTTGTAGATTTACTTAAATAGTAATATACTTATCTTTTTTATAACAATGACATAGAATAAGTCCAACTTTGCGTTTAATAAAAAAAACTTATCGTGCTTTCTTAGTGTTTCTTATGCCTTTTTTAATTTATGCAATCACTTTTTTGTACACTGGACTGTGGAACATGATGTTCGTCATGTCTTTGTATAGGGTGTTCTTTCATCGCTGAATCAATCATGCACAAAAAAGCGTAGTGACTCGCGCTTTTGACACTGTTTGATTGGATCTATCACCTCGTAGCATCGGATGGTTCCAGACTTAAGATGAAACGAAGTATTGCTTACTGGTGCAATCTTTCAGACTCCGCGAATGCGTCTACGGCTCACTGACGGAGAAGTTTCTGTCGGAGTAGAAGCGAAGACGTAGAAAACGTGCGCGCGCCCGCTGGACAAAGAAAAATCCGACTACCCGGCTACATAGGCTAGATGACGACAGCAACAACGCAGTTGATAATACAAAAGACCAAGCGCAAACTCTGATAATCCGTTTCACTTTGTGTTGTACCGCAGCCGACGTTTCGAGCCATCTTGGCCAGTCCATCGCTAAAAGTGTGTTACGTGGCCTTCCCGTTGGGCACAACTGCACGGGGAAGCACGATGTCACGTGGCAGGGAGAAAGCACTGGACTGGTTTTGATGGCTCGCAGCATTGTCTGCGGTATATAGTTTAATGTGTCGTACCATTCAGTTTCTAGTGTCACCGCATTTTTAATTTTTGTTGGTGTTCACAAAAGTAAACGCAAACATGAAATTAAGAAAAACGAAATAAATTAAACTCGAGATGACGGGCGGTTTATGCCACGCCTGGGCAGTATCACGCAAGCAAGCGCTGTACAGACTTTTGCTTAAAGGCGGTTAGCTATACCAGCAGATAATGAACAGGGGCTGTGTGCGGTAAACGGAGTAGCCTAGCAGACGACGCTCGCAACGGATAGAGCTTTGTGCGCACGCGCCTAATCTCTCCCGTGAGACTGCATTTTTCCGCGGCACAGCGCTGGCCGTCCCGGCGGTCGACGCTTTATGATCGACAGTTACATATTCGTGACAGAATCGTAAGTAACTGGAAGCAATCCGCAGATGGTTCCTTTTTTAACGAGAGCAGGATTTTCCTCGTATCTATACGTCGTTTCAGCTTACGTCCAGACGCAACCGACGCTCTGAGCGAATGGAACATATCTAGCAGCCTCAAAAGCGCGAATCACTGGACATTTTTTTTTTATGACTGGTTCAACGATAATAGAAACTTGACAAACACCATGATGGTGCCTTTTTGAGGCTCTGTAATTGGTCCCATTAGCTCGTCGTGTCGGCTACGTCTGAACTTCAGCTTAAACGAAATATAGCAGACTCATGAGTGAGAGCTCGTTCTCAGTTGTATCTGCGGCGCTGTGAGTCAAACGAAAGCAATCTGTATCTGATGTCGTGCCTTGCTTTTGGATATAAAGAATCGAACTGTAGGTGCGTATGATGAAGTCGCGCCCATCTTTTTTTATTTATTTTGGCCCCCCCCCCCCCCCCCCTATAACGAAGAAAATTGTAATTGTGGGCATTTTTTTGTAAGTTTCTCTATAGAATAACACCTGCAGTTTCAACACGTGCTAAGGTTGTAATAGAGCATAAATACACGATAGAGAGTAGGTTTTGTTCCTATTTCAGAGCTGACAAACTGCGCATCATACTAATATTCCATGCGTAATTCTGTAGAACGTCGAAATAATATTCTGACTTGAATAAACCAAATCATTCAACCGTACTGTGTGTATGTTTACTCTTACACACGCTAATAGGATTTTGAAACTAAATTGTAGTGTTGCTCAATGATCTGCATCATTTGATAGCTCCCCATACAACTTTACGTTTGTTAATAATCTATTGTGGCTTCGAATTATTCAAAAGGAGAAAGAAAAGAAAAACACTCTTGCTCGTTTTTGTTTGCGGCGAGCAAGTCATCCGCTTCTTGCGCAGGAGTTCTGATGACGTCAGAACAACACCAAGCTCTGATTGAATTTACTTGATAGTAGGTAGACCTCAATGCTAGATGCTTTGAGGTCTACCCACTATTTTTTTTTTTTTTTCAATCGGCCAATAAGAGCTCGGCGCTGTGACATAATCACAACCGTGTGCATGAAGCAAACGAACTTGCTTCAAAATCAGTGAGCTTAATATTTGCATGTGGAGGGCTTTTAATGTTTATAAAAAAGAAAAAAAAACTCCCGCACCGGGACGTAGCTTCTTTTAGCAAGAAAGCAAACGAGGAAGCGATAACGCCAAACGCACGGTGCACGTTACAACTTAGGGCACCTTTTGTTAGTTTAGTAAACTTGTTGGCAAAGCTTAGAGACACGCGGGAGTCACGGTGCTTCATCGTAACGTGAGAGAGCGCCACCGTTTTTATGTTTCAATTTCTTTTTATATTTCCGTCTCCTACGCCCCCCAAGAAAATCTCATTGGCATTGTATTTTTTCTACGTATGCCGTGAGCTGAAAATGGGCAAATATACATATATATATATATATATATATATATATATATATATAGATATATATATATAGATAGATAGATATATAAAGAGAGATAGAAGGAGAGAGAGATGATGCAGAAGCTCAGAGATCTGACGTCTTAAGAACCAAGCCTAGGATTCGCAATAAGGAAATGAAGCTGGAGGAGGCTGGCCAATACTAACCCCGTTTCGCACAATAGAGTAGAAAAGCTTGGGCGTATTCGACAACGCTTGCTGAACTTACATTGCAGTATGCGTAGGCGAGGATGCAGTTATAGCGATAACTTTATATACACAAAAGTAACGAAAACGGCAGTACGAATCTGGCAAGGAAGAGCAAAAGTGGATGCCACACAATAACCGGAGCGCCACAAAGCCTCATCTTTTCATAGAAAAGGCTCGAGGTGCACCTAAGCACTTCTTATGAGTTGTAAATGCGAAAGCATGAATGTCGTTCTTTCGCGCGTCCTCGTGAAGTGGCCTTGATGCACTGACATCGGCCGTGCCGTCGCTCTCCAGAGCGGCTGCACAGCCGATTCTTTTCTCGCGCTGGCGGTCTGCCCGAGCGCGCCAGGCGACTCCTTGTATTGTCGCGCTGGCGGCGCTCGCGGGCACGCAGCGCCATGGGGTGGCCATCCTTGAAACTGACGCGCAGCGGCCAATGGGAGCCTCGTCCCTTGAATCTACGGCGCGCGCCAGCCAATGGGACCGAAGGCGAAATCTATCAGATTCCGGTTTCACTTGGAGAAAGTTTAGGTGCCTTTTGGCGTGGCTTCAAAGCTGATGACGTCGGCCCGCTACAGTTAATGCTTCCGCATTAAAAACTAGCCCTTAATCGGCAACCAAAACGGCGCCCTGCGATAGCCGCGCGATAGGACAGAGTATATGACGTTGTTGCGTTTATGTTTGGTTATGGACGTTCAGAGACGGAATTTACAATCGATGACGCTTTACAATTTCAACAGTAGTCAATAGGTCGGAATCACTAGACCGGCTGTCAGATGCGGTAACATCTGCACCATATCGATAATTCGGTCTATTTAATTATGGCCATGCCTTTCTGATAGATGACAAGAGATCTGGTAGACCATCACCAGTTATAACAGAAGAGAATGTCGCTGCTCACGGAAGTCTCCTTAGAAAAGACACTCGATTGAGTGGAGACGCTGTTGAGGAGACCCGGAAGATTATTTCGGCAAGTTTTTCGAAGATTCTTAATAAACACGTCCGTGTGAGAAAGGATTAATGTTGCTGGGTGACAATTAAAGGGAAGTTGAAAATCTGGCGATGGTGGAATGCTGTTAAGAAACGCCACACAGATTCCAAATGTGCAACTTTACGTCAAACAGTTAACAACCATTAAATACGTCAAAACATGTATGAAATAATAAGGGGCTACCAATCTTGGATGTACAAATATAATCTCGGAAGACACCATTCGTAATTCGTTTGGGTTTTTCGTGGGGAGACTCCACCTCTGAAAATCAAGGTCTAGAAGTCTCGGAAAGCAAATGGTGGCAACGTTTTTCTCAGCCAATAAACACGTGGTCACGGTTGCTCTTGAAAATCGAAGCATAGTAACTGAAAAACGGTATTCTATATTTTTCTTCCAGCAGTTTCTCCCAAATTCAAGAGAGAGGGCCAATAACTGGATCAAGAGAAACCCTTTTGCATCCCAACGATGCATTAGCCCATTCTGCAACGTGAGATTAAACTTCCTCGAAGACGCGCAGTGTCAATCGCCCTACAATACAGATATAATACCGCAATACATTTTCTGGTTCTTGGTGGTGAAAGTAAAACAATGCACTTTTAAACCACTGAAGTTGAAGCTCCTGCCCACCAAGAGCACTTAACTGCAGTGCACAATACCTGCATGGTGGCACCAGTGATCCCGGGATCGCGTGATAGGGTGGGTCGTTTTGTGCAGTGTCGGGGTTAATGCTCAGAAAATATATAATAGTTGGAGCAAGAATATCTTTAAAAAGTGACGATTGTCTCAACTTTCGTTCTGTAATTCTCGAATATGCATGTAGCGCTCGCACGGTTTCATTTTCAGCAGCTTGGGTAGTCTTAGTAAAACGCTACAGTTATCCAACGTTGGCTGTAAGAAATTCAGATTGAAAAGGAAGCAACAACGCGGTTGTATTTCTTTTTCAGGTCTTTCACTTTCTACTTTTCAGTGCATAGCCAGATAGAGCATTATTACGGTATTGTGTTCAGCCTGTAGCTTCAAAAAGTGGCGATGGAGGGAGGCTGGCGCTGCGTTCAACAAGTGACGCGAAACAAAGTCCATTGTGATGGCTATGTAAACACGCATGCTTAACTTACCTCCATACACGATGCAGATGTGAAAAATTAGGAGGATAAGCTTAATTCCAGACATTTGTCAAGATATGTAGCGGAGACCACAAATTTCTGTTAATGCGCTTTGATTACTGGCTCACAACAGTCGGAACTTCAAAAGACACTAAAGGGTTTTTGTCTTTGCCTTTTATTTAAGTCCCACTCTGGACATACGCAACAATGATCCGGATGTTTTTCAACGGAGATCGGCTTCAGTTCTGACATTTCGGCTATGAAGACCATTGTTAAACCTTTAAAATAACTTCTGACCTTCTGTAACATTCTGCGTCTTGACGTATGAGTTCCCAACCATTAAATTCGTCAAAAACAGAGCGCGGTTTCGCAACGGTAATAAGCGTTCTAAGAAAAAAAAGTCATTCTTTCAGATAGTAGCACATTTCTGGCTAACGATGGCTTCTCTAGTGGATACAATAACCGTTGTTTGAACATCCTTAGCACGACGCACGTTGTATCAGGCACACTGTATTTCAGGTCGGCACTAAAGTTGAGGTCAGCTCATTAATTGGTGCATAATATAAGTTATGGCTAAAGTGATGGTAACTGAGAAACGAAGATTTTTCTGTATAGATTACATTAGACCAAGCCCTGTAACACATTATGTTATGACCGAAATGTATTTTATATCGAAATATATCTAAAGCGCTCAACATATGTGATTGATTTATACATTTTTGTCTGAATATACTTTGCAGGTGCCTACAGCTAATAAGAGCCTTAATTATCTTCAATATTCTGTAAACGAGACAAACGATCTTATATTTGTCGAAGAGTCGAAATTAATCAGTGCTTAGTTATCTATTTATACAAAGATTATGGTTATTTTCACCGGTCGCGTTGTAAACTCTTCGAAAACACCGATGATATCATAACCATTCTCGCTTTCGCATGTTTCCGCCTTGAGCTTGCGGTACAAGTAAAAACTTCAGCACCCACACACCGCGCTCAGCGCTTCCCACGTACCTCAAGTCAGAGTTTTGAACTTAGTTTTATCGGATCGGTTCGGGTTCGGTGCCTCAAGGTTTCCACGTGCCTCAAGTCAGAGTTTTGAACTTAAAGTTTTATCGGATCGGTTCGGGTTCGGGCTTACGGCTTTCGGTTCAGTTCTGGATCAGTTCCGGGGAACAAAAATAAGGGTTCGAACTGGTTTGAAGAGCTAAATTGAGAATATATATTCCGCGTTGTTGTGCGAGAGTTCAACTTCACAAATTGTTTTCTCGTTTTAAACAAAAAACACATTGATTAAACTTTCAGAATCAAAAGACGACCGATTGCTCTTCGAAACCCACCATATTTTGTATTTTTACGTGGGCCACCTCAGGGTGAAATAAACGGCTGTTTATGCGACAAAACGCACTTTTTGGCAACTTCAGGATTTTTTTCTTACTGCGAGATATTTAAGTGAGCGGTTTAAATACTTTTTTTTTCCGTAGATTATATAACAACGCGTTCCTCGGAACGCCGTTCCGTACAACACTGGACAGGACACGCGACGCGGGCAGATCGCTTCGCATGGTGTGGACGGTGATGGTCCGGGGGAGAGGGGGAGAAAACGAAAGAAGAGAGGGGGAGCGGAGAAACAGACCGATAAGCGCGCAGGGCAGCGCAAACTAGCGCATCCGCGTTAGGGTGATCACTTGGACGCCGTTCTGCCAACACCGGGAGGAGAAACTCATGACGTCATCGTTCAATTTCGCTCTGGAGGAACGAAGGAACGCCTCCGTTCCATTTTGAATCAGTGGAACTGGAACGGAAACTCGTTACATTTTTAGTGGAACGGAAAAAGGAACGGCGTTCCTTTCTTTCGTCCAGTGGGATCATTTTTGTTTTATTTCTAAGAGGGAAATTCTAAAATTATAAAAACCATATCTTTCAGAAGAGCGGGATCTTGTTAACTTTTTGGTTACTTGTATTAAGGTTTATTTTGTGTGGTCCTCGTTTGGGTAACAGTCGGGTGCAGGGGAGCTAGTGGACATCGATTCTTTTTTCATTACCCGAGACTGCGGTACAAAAAGCAAAACCTTTAGTCGAAGGAAACGACACAGAACGAGGGTCGTTTCAAACTCTACTTTCTTTTTTTCCATGAATCCTAGTACGCCTAGAAATCTAAGGCGGACTGAAGCCACCGCTGAACCTCCACAAAGAAACCTACACTTACAACAAACGAACAGGTTTCCAGACATGGAACACACACACCCTTGTATCGCGAATGATGGTCACTTGAAGATACACAAAAAAATAACCTTTATTCCTTCACCCCTTGTCCCCCACTTTCGATCTGAACAACGAATCCGACCTTCACCAACAAGGACTTGCAGTTTTCAAGACTGACCTTCCAAAAGCCCTACCCTCTTCTTCACTTGCTCGCCTTGAGGACAGCAACATCAAGAAGCAACTGCTGTTAGGTTCGAACAAGGGACTTTGCTAGACTGAAACGTGTGAGGTTGTTGTAAAACCCTCGTGCAATATGGGGTAACAGTACATTTGGCTCGTCTGAATTGCCCACCACAAACATCAATAAGGTTCAAAGCTGCTGAGATTTTTAAAGGTTAATATATCAACAAATGAAACCCTGCTTACTCTTGTTTTTTTCTCCTGGTGCCTTACCATCATGGCATTCAAATTCGTATGTTTACATAAAATTAGATAGATGAAAAAAAAACTTTCTTCGATTTAGCAAAATATGGTAGTCAGCAAAATTCAAATGTAACGTATATGTAACGATATGTTCCATTTTTTAACAGTAACGGGAACGAGTTCCTTTTTCACAGATGGAACTTGTAACGGGAACGCGTTCCAGAAATCAGAAGGAACGAGGAACGATCTTTCGTTCCTCTTTTTGAGAAACGTGTACAACACTGGTCCTGTCCCTCGCCCCCACGAACGTCACAAGACCACGTGGTTCGACGTGACGTGGCCATGACTCGAACGGCACAAGACCAATGTTGCCTGACGCAACCGAAGTTTCGGTTGCGGTATCAGCTGATGTTTAAATTAAGATTACACAAATACTATTCCACATTTCGCGAATCCGAGGACGTAGAGCTGTTTAGTAGTGCTTTGTAAAATGGAATCAAATGTAAGCCTAAATTTTTAGGAATTGAGCGAAGTTGCCCTTTAAAGGCCCACGTACACTTCGAGATTTCCACTTCTGCCCGCCTCCTCCTTTCATATATCCTCTCCCCTTGTAGAGAGCTGCTCTTAGGTGCCCATTTCCGGTTTGAACGGCGTCGCCATCGCCGTCGGTGTAACCGCGCGTTGCATTGTGGGAATAATGCAAGCGGGCATAACCGCGCGCGGCATTATAAGAAAATTTCCCCGCTAAATTTAGCCGCAAAATTTTGGCAAAATCTCTCTCTAAACTTAGCGGGAACATTGTTCTGCCAATTATAACGGAAACCATTTTGCTAACTTTCCCGCTAAATTTCGCGGAGAAATTTGTCCGCTAAACTTAGCGGAAAAATTTCCCCCAAAATTTAGCCGTGACACCTCCCCGCTAAATTTAGTGGAAAGTTTCCCCGCTAAATTTAGCGAAAAATCTCACCGTCAAAATTTCCACAAAAATTTCCCCGCTAAAAGTTCAAAAAAAATTTCCCCGCTAATTTTAGCGGGAAGGATTCCCCGGCAAATTTAGCAGAAAAATGTTCCCGCGAAATTTAGCTGGCAAAATTTTTGCGAAATTCAGCGGGAAATGTATCAAAACTTTCCCGCTAAATGGAAGGGGAGCAGGAGAGGAGGAAAGGAGGGGGAGGAGGGGGAAGAGGAACATATCATTCCCTCCGTACCCTCACCTCCTCCTCCTCAAGAGCTGGGCTCTAGTTCGGCAGTACAGAGGATGGTAAACTTCTTTAATTTTTTTCCTTGCCCCTCTCGCAAACAAATGTCGACCGACACACTGGTGTCGGTCAACACCAGTGTGTCGGTCGTTGGTCGCTCTCGGGTTTTTAAGATGCTCATATACATGCTTTGTTATTATTCCAGGGGCGCAAAGACGGCAGCGGAACGGGGAAAATAATAAGCGCTGATATCGGTGCTCTGGGACAGAAGAACGAAAAAGTGAACGTCAGAAGAGCGGGAAAAAAAAGCGGACGATATGGTGAGCATGTTCGTTTTGCCTCAAGAACATGAAGTTGTTCTAGCGTTTGTCAAGTATATTTAATTTTATCCAATTCGCGGCGCCTGTGATTTTTACTAAACGAGTACAAGATAAAGCTCGAAATACGAAAGAAAACTACAGACCTTTCAAGTGATGTTTCGCCGTTTCTTTGTATGTATTAAAGCATAGCCAGCGATCTTGGCCCATGGAGACAACCGTTGGGACCACCGATGCCCGCTTCAATGCCCCGCCATTCCGAAAGGGGCCGCTGCGCATGAAACGTTTCCCCTTCAGATTAATATATTAACTCTATGGTTATTTTTCCCCCATGCCCTACATGGGCGACATCCGTCACGTCTGCAACTTACTTCAGCCAATCAGAAAGCTGGACCGGCTCGATTATTTCGGTGCAACGGACGCTGTAGAATTCGATAATCTGGGGACATGAGTGACTCTAAACGTGACCTACATCCAGTTTAGCTTGTGCTCTTGGTTTCCACTTAATTTTCTAGATTGAGAAAACAGAACAATTGTAAGCACAATGGGTGTTTCTCAATTACGTTTCTTTTAATCGTCCCAAAGTTTTAATTTTTGTGATAATTACGTTTAAAGGCAAACCAGGAGCTCGGAAAGCGCTGATAGCATTATACATCCATTGGAACGACAGTAAACACGTCACCTTTTAACAACCGTTCATAGAATTTAGTAAAGTCGCGTGAGCCACGTCGACGTGATGTTTCTGTCCCCTAAACCGAGTGCCCTTGCGCGATTGTATCGTAGCTTCGTCACCAACACGGACAAGTTCGAACGTATGACCCACACGAAAATGACCAAAACTTAGGAGAGTGTTGCATCAGACATCCCTCATCGCTATGGTACCGCTAAATACCTCAGTTTAATGCATGTTTTTGTTGAAATCCTGGCTTCATATTTTCGAACGTTTTTGTTTGGAGCCTATTTAAAGTGTTCTCTATTTCCCTACAGCAATATTGTTCGCTCGCTTCGATTCGAACTTCGAACGTGGTTGCCTTCTACATGTACTGCAAAATATCGGAAAAGAGAACACGCATTTGGCACCTAGGTGCAGCAAATCATAGGCATGTGAAATTTATTGTTTCTGCGGTCTGCGAAATCCCGATGTCATGTGGGAGGCTGTACAAGAGAGTAATGCGTGAACTTTACTCGTAAAAAAAATAAATGATGTGTGAACTTTAATCGCCTTTGCGATCAACCTCTGGAGGGCACGAAACTTTCCACTGCTCAGATTTCCAGAGAAAAACAGATTGCTCATTCCGAGCTGCAGCTGCCGAAGTGAAATATCAAAACACATGCTACAAGAATGAACAATAAAGGCAGGGCGTCGAGAGGGTTTTCAGCTAGGCTCCAGTACGTTTACAATAAAAAAACAAACAAAAAAAAACGAGTTTTTGGACTCATGGTGATTTTTCGCTTCTCGTTATGGGTGTTTGCTTGATGGGGTTGTCATGGAGACGATATCTTAAAATAAATCATATATTTTCTACTTGTGCTTCTCCGGACTATTATTTTGCTTTCGCCCGTTCTTTGGTGATTTTTTTTTTTTTATTTAGTTGAGTTCAAACGGTCTATTTTGAGCTTAGGTGTTTAGGTCTATTTTGAGCCAAGGTACAATTTAGACTGAAGACTCTCAGTTGCAGGAGTCTTCACGTTTTTTTGGGGGGTGCTTCAACAAAAAAGATCATCCAAAATAGTTTGCAATACTGCCGCATAAAAAAAAACCACGTATGAAAAGATTCTTTATGACAATTTAATGGTCACGTAAATTCAATATCTAAACCATTAAACTTACGCCTGCTTTAATCCACGAGAGGTGAATGACAAAGGATATCTGCTTAGAGCAAAAGAGCTCATGTCGGAAGTCGTGATATCAAACTAGCATCCCGTTGTTTTAGTGACGTGCCGACTTTCAGCATTTTTGTTGTAACAAAATTAAATAACATCGCATTCCGCACTGAGGCGTCTACAAGAACACGTTAAGAATTTTTTCCTTTGCATTCTTCGAGACAAAAGCATTATATCATGGCTATAGAAAGTTGTGATTGCCTTTCTCCTTAAAAAATTGCGTGCTCTTTGGCACAAAATCGTTACTATCGCCAACGTTAATCGCCAACCCCAACGTTAATCGTCAAACTAATAAATATTAGTTAGTGGTCACAGCAACAATGCAAGTCTTTTTAAGATGTGTTTATATGTAAGCAAAAGAATAAGCCTACGGGCTTTCCTGCTCCGCGAAACATGAGCGACACGTCGGGCTGATCAGTGCGCACACGCAGGTCGTCTTTCATGCGGATTGCGTAATCCGGTGGCAAGCATTCGGCTCTGAAACATATTTGGGTAGTAACTAGATTACAGTAATTGAATTACTGTAATTTAATTAGTTTCTTGGTAATTTGTAACTGTAGTTAATTGCATTCGGCTGAAATGAATAGTAACTAAACTTAATTACTTTCTAGCGTCAGTAATTTAAAAATTTCATGCACAATTACAATTACTCCTGCAAAACTTTGCGGCGCCGACGTAATCTCTCTGAAAGCGTTGGCGCCCACACACGCGGCGCAGGTCTCGGTGAAACACTCGCACATAGTCACGCACTCGCACACGCACAACATAAATAGCGGCCTACTGTTTGTTGTTTTGTTGCTTACACTGCGGGCTGGGAGACAATCCGCTTTGGAGTCTACCTCAACGGCGCCGTGTGGCGCCGTCGGCAGTGCGAACAGAAAACAATGGCGCAAACATGCCAAGATATTGATAGAAAAAAAAAATCGAGCTTCAGCTTTCAGCTGAGGTTGGGAATTTTAATTGTCTATGACAATGGTTCTCAAATGGACGTCCGTGGACCCTTTCGGGTCCGCGAAGCCCAGGCTCATTAGCCAAGCCTAGCAATAAAAGTTGTCTTTCCCTATATTGAGAAGAAACGTTCCAATTTTCGGGCGAGGTTTCTTGTGTATATGTCAATAAGAGAAGGCTATACCACACTAGCCTTTATTTATATCAATTTAGTAAATCACTATCATTAGTAACCTATATATTTCCCTTTCCCGCACTGCGAACGGGGTCCATCATGTCTGCCGATCCACAAGGGGTCCGCAAAACATGCCAGTTTTTTTTACGTCCCTCTTCCAGTACTGTCGCATATCTGCATAAGCATTTTGGAGACTGGCCTCGCGCTTGTGAATATTGTCACCAATGATTCGGGAGCCCCGATTTGGTTCTTATATATTTCTGAGCCATTATAATTTCAACTCAATGTAAATAATTTATAATACCATTATGTTTGTATGTGAATCCGGTTTTATTAGCTCGTGTGGATTTTAGTTTTATATTAACACTTGTAAAATATTCATATATGAGTAATTGTCGCATTTTTATTTGCCTGGCTAACAAAAAAAAAATCTGTCAACTGAATTTTTTTCAGTTATCACAGCGCCTTCCAGCACATGAACTTATTTATTATTATTTATTAAAATATAAGAACGTAGTACTTCATTGCCCCGAACTGTCAAGTTATATCATGAATTTAACTAAATCCATAAAAAAGGAGGGTACAATACGTGGCATTCATGTAGCAGTGCTTAAGCCTCCTTAAACACTGGGTAAAGGAATGAACAAATAAGTATGTTGCATTCTATACAACTCGTTTAAAGTTTTATGGCTCAAGTCTGGTCGCTCTCAGAAATAAGTAATTGTAAAGTAATTTCATTACGTTTTAAAAGCAATTCATAACTGTAGTTAAGCTAGTTTTGATACAAATTAATTGTAATTGTAATTAGATTACAGTTTGGAAATAATTTACCCATGTATGCTCTGAAACGAGCGAAGAAGTCATCCATGCTCGAGAAGTCTGGTTGCCGTTGCATCGAGATTGCTGCACTCCCCGTGAAGGCGACTGGCAAAATGCAAGTGAAGGCCACTTCGTCGCTGACGCCTGGTGCCGCTTGGTGGTCCTGGAGGTCGGCGATGAAGTGCCCACTCATTTGATGGTCAGGTAACCCACATATTTGGGAACATCCAGTGAAATTTTCAGCTAAACTCTAGCGGGCATCCTGATGACGGTGGCCGATCGTGTGGAACGCTGCATATATGCTCGCTCTGCATCTGAAGAAGGTCATGACGGCTCTTACATCTGTTAGGCCCTCCTGCGACGCTACGTCTGCGGGGGAGGACATGCAAAGGACGCCGCCTGGGTGTGTTGCTCTCCTCTTCAGCTTTTGAAAAAGCTGGTCTAGGGGTAAGGCCTAGTTACTCGAAGTCGCGCTGGCTTTATTCAACGATCGCTTTCGTTGAGGTGTTTGCGGCGGCGTTCGCTTCATTTTGTGAGCCTCGAATGGGCACGTTTTCGACCGTGAGGTTTTGTTTGAGGTAGAAACGGCTCGTCACAACAGTGATACTCAAGACGAGGTCGTATACCGCCCCTAAAAGGAAAGAAAAAAAAATCCGCTTGGGTGTATTATATAGCCTGGGAAATCAAACAATTTCCGTTATATGGTCTACTCGAAAGATCGCCGAGTCAGAGGGATCGTGGAAGATAAACAAGAATGGCTAAAGCCAGGGTTGCACGAGCTGCGTGCCTACCTGGGGTGCATGGCTCTGCCGCCGATAAGCGGGACACGAGTGTAGTTCTCGAAGGGCGCACGATACTTGTTCGGTCACTGTCGTGGCTTAAAAACCGGGACCCCTAACCTCTAAAATTTCTCTATAGAGAAGTTTTAGAGGCGGATGCAATTATCAAAGCAGGCGCGAGCTGCGTAAGCCAAACGTCACTGGGCTTGAGTAGTAAAGAGATTGTTTTTTTGGACACGTGGTGAATGTATTATGTGACGTGGGCGGAGTTGCTGTTTTCTTTGTTTTGTTTTCATGTGATTAAATTTCAGTTGAGAGTCAGCGCTTGTCCTGTTTGCTTTTCATTTAGTGTGTTTACTGTGCGTTGTTTGCCTTTTCCTCCGTCAGGGAGCGGACACCTATTTCGGGATTCGTTCCCGCTGCCTGAGAGATCTGTAGGCCGGGGTGTTACCTTGAGACATTTGAGAAACGCTGCTTTTTTTTCCACTATTGGTGTTTTAGAGCCTATGGACACAAACACGTTGAATTAATGCTATGTTTTACTATAACAAAAAATTAGCAGGTGTGCTATAGGGTATCATTAACTGCTTATACATTTGATGCTCCTGAATCAATCCAGAAGCCTTAATACATACTTAAAGCATATTTGGATTCTAAAGGTAAGTTTAGAAATTAAGATGATGGAATAAAAAAAAAAAGACTTCGCAAAATAGCCGCCCTTTACTGGAACTCGTCAGCTGTTATATCAGTGTTAGGTGGTTGATTTCAATCGTTCGTTCCACTTCAATATTTAGCGGCAAAGAATTTGGTAGCTATAAGTCTAGTCTATGATAAAGCAAAGTAGTCCTAAGCAGACTTGTACGTAATCCGTTACAAGTAACGGAATTACTTGTAATCCCTTACATTTTTCAGTAATTTAGTAACGGAATAAAAACACATTTTCTAGAGTGATTTTAAACTAATTTCCTCACATTCTTTACGTAACGGATTCCTTGTAATTTGTTACATTTTTTTACAGACCCTCCCCCCTTCTAAAGAAAGGGTTGTTATTTTGGTAAAGTCGAGCGCAGTGACACTGTCACGCGAATTGACCAGCGCAAAAAGAGGCTTGGCACTCTTCAGTTCCGCAAAGCCTTTTTTTTGCGACACCAAGCGCCTGAATTTATTTTCTTTAGACCCTAACAACAATCTAAAAAAATCAACATCGTCATTTCTTTAAAAAAAAAAAAGGGGTTGGGGGGGGGGAACAAGTTATATCCACTTTTTCTGGTCCCTTCGTTTTTTTCTTTGCGATCGAACAGGACACCAAGTCCTCTTCGAGAAGATCAAGGCGGTGAGTGCACCGACAAGAATTAACAATGTTCTCAGTTATGGTGACTACGACCATTTTCATAATATCACAACACGAGACAACGCTTCATGTATACCAAAATCCACTAAAAGAGATGTGATAATATGTGAAGGTGTTATTGCCACAAGCATCCTCGTTCATTACTGCACACTTATCATCTTCTCTTATAAAACAGGATGTATTTTTTTGTTTCTTTCACCTTAATGACCCTGTTTTAAAAGCTGCTTACTCTTTTGTAGTCTAACTTCTTGGTTGGCTCACTTTATTTGTGAATTCCAGCCAGGTTATCTGCCTCTCAGTCACCCTTTTGTGCAGGGTGTCGAACCGGAACCGAACCGAAAACCGGAACCGAACCGGTATTTTTTCCGTAACTGAACCCGAACCCGAACCGTTATATTGTTATCGCGATGAACCCGAACCGGAACTGAACCGAAAAAAAAATAACGGTTACCGGCTCATGTCAAAACGGTTCGGCCACGCGCTGTTGACAATGAATGTGCTATCAATGCCATTTGTTTTTTAAGTGCTGTCAACTGACACACACCTCGCTTACATATTTTTATTCTCCACTCAGTCTTAGGAATATAAACGCTGCATCCATGAATCTTGACAAACGCTGCATCCATGAATCTTGACATAGGAACCAGTATTGCGCTGGTCGCGGCTTGCACGGAAGAAAAAAAATTGGAAGGCTGTGCCAAAAAAAAAAAAAAATCGCGTCACGGGATTTTATTTTTCTACAATCTCGTAAATCCTAAATGCTGCTGTATGCTCATTTCATAACACGTTTCTTGAACGCGCGAGTTCTTGAAGCTTGCTTCCATCGGAATGAGAAAAGAAAAGGCTGTGGAGTTTGATAATAATGCATTCGGTTTTGTATAGGCACTTAATAATTATACTAATAATAATATTCTTTATTCAGACAAGTGTCTAGAAGGAGGGGGTAAAAGGCGATTTAAATCGCCTGAGAGGGCTCCATCCCCCAGTACGGTCAGCAGCAGAACGTACAGAAACATACGAACAAAAACAATCCAATACTCATAGTGGGATTACACTGAGATACAGTGATAAAACAAAAGAAATGCGGCCGGAAACTTTAATAAATCATGTTATAACTGAAAGGTACGTTTTCAGTGTTCGTTTAAATGTGTATATTGTGTTGGAATTATTGATCATGGATAGTATTTCAGGGTGGTTCTTTAATAGCTGTGCGATCTGATTAAGTATCCTTTGTTTACCGTAGTTTGTGCGTACTCTAGACTGAGTGTAGTGAGTATGGCGAAATGAAGCTAACATATTTGTTAGCTTCATTATGTTCAAATATGTTAGAAGCTAACATATTTGTGAGACAGCGAACTCTTCTATTTTAATATGTATCCTATTACGTCCTTCTGGCGTTGCGTTCGGTGAAGTGTTTTTCATATTCCGTATCTTGTTTAATGAAAACTTCTTTAAGGGTCTAATTTGAGTTACCGAAGGCTAGTTCAAATTAAGAAAGCTGTATTTTCTCCCCACTGTTCCTTCAATTGCTTACACGCCGAGGTGGCGGGATAGTTAGCGAGTTCTACTTGTAAGTGGGTTTGTAAGGAGGTCGCGGATTTTACAGCTACTGCGTCGGACCCAATTAGATGAAGTCCGAATGCGTGAACGTCGGTGAGGTAACCTTTGAGTGCACATAAAGAAACCATTCCTGGTAGAAATCCCTGAGCCTTACACTACGATGTATCCCGTTCCGTATGTGCTGATTTCAGATGTTTTATTTGTAATTTATTTTGATGTTGCAATTTGTCATTTATAATTTCCGAACCGGTTCGCGGATCGAATTAGTCGAACCGGAACTGAACCGGAACAAAATAAATTCACTTGAACCTGAACCGTAACCGAACCCGTATTTTTTTCGGTTCGACACACTGCTTTTGTGAGTCAGCTTTTTGCGAGCACTTCGAAAATAGTAATAGTTTTTCTTTCTTCTTCTTCCTCTTTTTACCACAGCACGATGCATCTTATCTCAAGCAGATATTTTTCAAATAAAACATAATAGTGGCTGACGTAGACTTGATAGTCTGGGCTTGAGGAGAGAGTGAAACTCGTGAGTGGGGCCATATCTGCCCTTCGCTGCTCGTGGCATCAGCGGACGTCTAACTGGAGAACACCGGAGTAAACTGCAGTCGGTTCGTGATCCGTGCGTTTTTGAACGGCAACAAGAAAGTTACACAAGGCAAACGTGCGTTTACATTTCCTTGTTTTAACCGACGTTCTAAATAATTCTTGTCATGAGTGTCCTTTTTTTCTCGATTATTTATATTTATATAAATATATATAAACCAGTCGGTGGCGAAGCGCTTTGAATCAATCTTACCTACTCGATTGTATTTTCTTCACTAGTTTTCTACGCGGGGACGCTGCGGTTTCTCCCAGACGGAACATGCTGGCACCGTGACGAGGCTGAGCAACGTCAGCAAATCGACTTCGCATGGTCCCTTCACGCCCCCCTCTCCATCGCAGTGCCATCGTCAACAGCGCATGCTCGTCGCCGCCCACAAGACCATAAAAGTCAGCTTCAGCGAAGTCGTCAACGCAGTCGGTGGCGAAGCGCTTTGAATCAATCTTACCTACTCGATTGTATTTTCTTCACCAGTTTTCTACGCGGGGACGCTGCGGTTTCTCCCAGACGGAACATGCTGGCAAAGTGACGAGGCTGAGCAACGTCAGCAAATCGACTTCGCATGGTCCCTTCACGCCCCCCTCTTCATCGCAGTGCCATCGTCAACAGCGCATGCTCGTCGCCGCCCACAAGACCATAAAAGTCAGCTTCAGCGAAGTCGTCAACGCAGTCGGTGGCGAAGCGCTTTGAATCAATCTTACCTACTCGATTGTATTTTCTTCACCAGGTGAGAGTACTTTCAAAGACTTTCTTCGAAAATTTGCCTCCCTTTCTGCCACCGACTGAAGTGTTTGCCTGCAACTATTGTGCACAATGAATAATGAGAAAGTGTGCTTGGCTTGTCTGGAAAAGATCGTTAATGATGAAAAGTTTTTGTTGTGTTCAGTGTGCAAAAATGTGTACCACCTGGGCCAGGCGTGTGCTGGACTTAATGAGGCGTCCTTTGCAAGTATGGGATCAGCAAAACGCGATAAGTGGCGTTGCAAAACCTGTCGCACGCAGGAGAGTAGAAGCGGGCCCCACAGCGGAGCGTGTTCTTCGCAGAACTCGTCGGACGAGAGCCAATCAGCAGTCTCAGCCCAGTTGCAGTCCTTTGGACTGAAGTTAGATTCCTTGCTGGCAATGAAGCGAAGTGTTGACACGCTACTGTCACTACCTGCTAAGGTGGACGAGTTGCTGACTCTGAAGCCTACGGTCGAGAGGCTCGAAGCCCATATACAAGAGTTGGACAGCAAGGTAGACGGACTATCGGCTCACTACAACTCTGTTCTAGAAAGCGCAGCGGAAAACGGAAACAAGATCTGTACGCTAGAAAGGCAACACGCGGAGCTGCAAGAAACTGTTAGTGGCCAAGCGGAGACGATCCAATCCCTGCGAGAAGAAATTAACAACCGAGAGCAGTATAGCCGTCGTG